CTCCACTACTGATGGGAGTGCAAACTTGTACAGCACTTTGGAAATCAGTATGGTCATTTTTCAGAAAATTGGGAATCAATATACACGAAGACTCCCACAATATAACCTTTGGGCATATACCCAAAGGATTCCCATTTATACCACAAAGATATTTGGTCAACTATGTGCATAGACCCAGAAAGATACCATGGTATGTGGATATTAAACATAAAGGCAATGGATAACCAGATTACAATTTATAACCCGAATGAAATTAGATTAAAAAAATAAGAAGGATATACATGGAGGGTCCCAGGGAAAAATAGTTAAGATCTACTTATTGGACATAGAAGGGGAAAAGGGAAGGAACGGGGAATAACGATATGAGGACTTGAGATGGCTGAGTTGGAGGAGCGATGGAGAGAGAGAGCAATGGAAGAGTTATCTTAAAAGAGCAGGCCATTATGAGATGAGAGAGAAACCAGGGATAATACATGGGACCAAACTAAGTCTTCTGAATTTGTGACAGTTGTGTCCTGTCCTGTTTGAAGAACCCATGGCAGTGGCACCAGACATACCCTGGGTACATGAGTGGGCCTTTTGTAGCCCATTCCCTATGGTGGAACAACTTGATCAGATTAATAAAGGGAGACGGTCTTGGTCCTGTCTCAAACTGGTATACCAAACATTGTTTTCTCCCAAAGGGAGGCTTACAAACTCTGAGGAGTGGATGAAGAATGGGATGGGCATAGGTCGGTGGTGGAAAAAGAGGAGGAAGTGGCCACTGGAAATGGTATGTAAAATGAAAAAAACATTAAAAAAGACTGAGGAAGAGCAGATACAACATTTATCCATTGATTAAACCACTCTAAATTTAGAAAGGCTCTGAATCTATGTCCCACTCTCCTCAAACTGTAAGCAGAAAAAAGAATGAACAGGGGCTTTACAAAGGTTCCTTCTTATACCAAACCTCTCATTTTGGTTTTTCTCAATTAAACCGGTATTTGAACATTTTAAATGCTCCAACAATATTGTTGAATATTCTGTGATGTAGCATATGTCTATGTATTTTTTTGTTCCTGTAATAAGTATCATGAATAAAAGCAACTGAGTGTGAGGAAGTATTCATTTAATTTATTGTTTCTGGTCACAAACCGTCATTGATGGAAGCCATGGCAGGAAGTATGGATTAACTGATGATTAGTTAATATTCTTATGTAAGCCAGATCCACCTTTGTAGTGATGGTGTTGAGCATTCTGGACTACGCTCTCCAAGATCAATTAAAAGTATCCCTCATGGACATGGTCACAGGCCCATCTGTGCAATATAATTCCTAAATTAAAGCTTCTTCTTCCAAGGTGATGACTTTGAATCAAGTTGACAATAAAAATGTATCAGTACATTATCAGAGCTAACAGATTGTGTTTTCTGAAGTCTAGAGGAAACACTGAATGCTTTGACCTGCAATCAAAGAGACCAATGTGCCACCATGAATCTTTGGGTCCATTCTTAATCAAACCACATAAGAGTTAAAAATTGACAAGGGATATTGACTGCTTATCTCACTGAGCAACTTTCTATGAAAGTCAGAATAAATGAAGGTGGGTTTAGTTTTATCTGGAGCTCAACTGTTTCAGCCTGGATTCAAAATGTGCCATGATTTCAGTTATTATGACTCATATTCAGCCTCACAGAGATAGCCAAAAGAAAAAAAAATACCCTAAATTTCTTAGGGAATTATTTAACTATCATGAACAACTCAAATGAAGATTTATTCTGCCTGATATTTTTTTTTTTTTTGTTTTTGGAGGCAGGGTTATTCTGTGGTTTTGGAGCCTGTCCTGGAACTAGCTGTTGTAGACCAGGCTGGTCTCGAACTCACAGAGATCTGCCTGCCTCTGCCTGCCAAGTGCTAGGATTAAATGCGTGTGCTACCACTGCCCGGCTGGTGGTTGTTTTTTATGAATGTGAGGTTCTTTGGTTTAGGAACTGTCAAGCCAAGTGGCCTCACTTCATTTTGTTTGTGTAAATACACACACACACACACACACATACATATATTCACCTACGTGTGTATGTATAAATTTCTAAATGTGTACACATTATATGTCATGATTATAATGTAGGCAGAGTTTTCGTTTCTAATAAACCCACTCCTAAATAACCAAAGACACTTTTAAATTTTAAATTCTTGGCTTATAGCTCAGGCTTATTAGTAGCTAGCACTTACAACCCATTTCTGTCACACCAGTGCAGCTAGCGCCAATTCTGAGCAAAGGACATCAGGATTAATGGAAAACACACTTTGCATGTTGCAGAATTAGAAGCCTTTATTGTACATCACCAAGGGGTGTTTATACCTAACCCAGATAGGTAGGCCAACAGGATGGAGACCTTATTGCCAGATCCTCAGGTTAGGGCCAAGAAAATGTGTACTCAGGACGCAGAGTTGTTAAGCAACTCTCAGAGCAGGAAACTTGCAAGTTTCTCAGTAACCAGAAGAACAAGGGCAAGAAAGGTCATCTAAACGTGAGGTGAGTAGGAAGGCCAGGACTCCATTCGGTTCCAAAACATTTCTATTTATTTATATATTGCCATATGGTGCGTGGCTTTACCTCTCCTTCAGCTTGTCTCCACCTTTCTACCCAGTGTCCTTAGTTTGGTTGTTATGCCTACATTTCCTACCTGGCTACTGGCCAATCAAGTTCCTATTATACCAATCTAAGTGAAAAATTATCACAGTGTTCAGCATCTCTCATTTTATTTGTTTCATCAAAAAGGAGGGTTTTAACTTTGGCATAGTAAGATTATATACAACAAAAAGTTATTATGTAAGAATTACATTCACAATGTCCAGTCCATTTGCATTTGACAAAATTAGAGAGAGTATTTAATTATCTATCTTTGGGAGTCTAAAGTTTTATATTTAATTTACCTTTACCATAAGAAAATTAATTCTAATTATTAACCTTTAACTCTATTAAGATCCCAAAAGGGTGAAATTTGCCGAACAACAGGGACATTAAGCTACCTGGACAAGCATTCAAAGTTCTCCTGTAATGCTGGGGCATCCATCTTTGGCCTATAGGCTAGTATATATGACAGAAATTTTTGCGAAGCAGGGCATTTTGAATGACTGTAACATCACAGCAAAGTTTGGCAGTTGCTTTTATTTGTATCCTACTGACCCAGTCTGGACAGTATATTGCCAGCAGTTGAGGTAAGGGCAGTTTTTTTCCCCAAAGCTTTTGGCATAAAGAAAGTAAACTCCATACTCCTCTCTCTCATCCTTTTTCTCTATCTCTGTGTTCATTCGGAAGTGTACATATGATTCTTAGAAGAGAGCTTCTTGAATCGACACATTATTTCCACGACATAGGATCCAGGGAGACCATGCAGATAATCCCATTTACTGGGAAGAATCATGACTAGCTGATACATCTCATGGTCCTAGCACATTCTTCTTCCATTACTCAAATTAGAAGCGATTTAACCAATACAGCATTACTGAGTTATTACTGGTATTCTACACACTACTTCTTTTCACAGTGAGATCACTATGCACTTCAGCAGGGATGTAAAACACAGAAATTACAGAAAACACTACCAAAAAAAACTTTTAAGTTTTATTTGTTTTAAACACTTTGAATATTTTCCCACATTTATTGTAAACATACAGGTTCTGAAAAGGGAAAAAGCAATTGAGTATAGTAGGAACTGTGATTGCTAAAAAAAATTTTCCACATGTTTATACATGTAAAGTCTATCTTCAGAGTGACTTCTTTAGAACGTCATGGTAACAGGAACTGCTGAAGACTTTGAACAATACTTAAATGGATATATGCTTTAGATTCTTTCCAGTGTAGATCTGTGTATGAGGGTTACAGACACTGGTTGTGCTGAAGACTATCCCATATTACAGACACTGTGTGAGATCTTTATGCTTGTTAAAATCACAAGAAGAAATAGTTTGTATACCATGTGTACATACAAAAGGTTTCTATCCAGTGTGAATGTTTTTACTCTTGAACCAAGTGAATCTAGTAAAGACTTTCTGACCATGGTTTCACGCATTACGCTACTGACTAGTGTGAATAGGTTCAGATCTGTTATGATCACAAGAGCAGCTGAAGGCTATTCCACAATTCCTATGTGCATAAATGAACTATCAAGTGAACTCTTTTATGCCTGTTAACTTCTGCAGAATGAACAGTTTCCACATCTTTTACACACCAAGAGTTCCTCTCCAGTGTGATTGTTTTCCATGCAAATCAGGACAAATTGAAGTGTTAAAAGGTTTCCTGTAATGTTTACATGAAAAAGCCATTTCTCCAAATGGAACCCTTTCCTGAATGTTCAGCTGACTGGAGCAGGTAAATGCTTTTTCACAATGTGTACATCCATAACACTTCTCTTCAGTATGATCTCTTTCATGAACCTTCATGAATAGAAATTAGTGAAGGGCTTTACACAATGCTTACATGAATAGAAATTGGTGAAGGGTTTTGCACAATACTTACATGAATAAGGCTTCTCAAAAGTGACTTCATTCATGTATGTTATGACTACTGAGGTTACTGAAGGCTTTTCCAAGATGTTTACATGCTAAAGACTTTTCCCCTATGTGAATCTCTTCATGAATGTTCAGGTGATTGGAGCAGGTAGACACTTTTTCACACTGCTTAAATGTATATGAATTCCCTTTAATGTGAACACTCTTCATGAGTCTTATAAGAACTGAAACTGGTATAGGCTTTTTCACAATGCCTCCATGAAAAAGGTTTCTCTGCAGTGTGACTCTTTCCACGTCTCTTACAACTACTGAAGTTGTTAAATGATTTTCCACAATGCTTACATTATAAGGCTTTTGTCGGAGTGAATTATTTCATGAATGTTCAGATGCCTACACCAGAAAGTTTTTCCACAATATTTGCATGTATAAGTCTTCTGTTTCTCTGTACTGTGTCTCCTTTAATTTCTGTTACACCTACTAGAATTGTTTAAGGCTTTTCCACAATGCTCATGCATAGGGTTTCTCTGCAGTGTGCCTACGTTCATGTCTCTTATGACTACTGGGGTCATTGAAGGCTTTTCCACAATGCTTACATGGATAAAGTTTCACTCCAGTATGAATTCTTACATGATTGTTTCGATAAACAGAACGGATGAAGTTTTTTCCACAATGCTTACATGGATAAGGTTTCTCTCCAGTGTGAATTCTTTTATGAATGTGTAGATAAGAAGAACTGGTGAAGTTTTTTTCCACAATGTTTACATGCAAATGGTTTCTCTCCAGTGCGGCTCCTCTCATGTCTCTTATGACTACTGGGGTCGTTGAAGGCTTTTCCACAATGCTTACATGCATAAGGTTTCTCTCCAGTGTGAATTTTTTCATGAATGTTTCGTTGAGATGAACGGGTGAAGTTTTTCCCACAATGCTTGCAAGTATAAGGCTTTTGTCCAATGTAACTGCTTTCATGACTGTTATGATGATTGAATTGGGTGAAGGCTTTTCCATAATGTATAGAAGTATATGGTTTCTCTCCTTTGTGAGTTACTTTATGTTTCTCAAAACATGTTTTATATTTAAATGTTTTGCCACATTGCCTACAACTGTACCTTTTCTCTTCAATATGACTTTTTTCATGGTTGGTAAGCTCACTGAAATCAATGAAGGATTCTTCCCAGAGACTACATACAAATTGTTCCACTTCTTTATGGTTTTGTTCATCATTCTGTCCCTGTGTGTATCTCATGAAGATATCCTCATTGAGTTTATCTCCAGTATAAGTTCTCTCCTGAGACTCATCTAAATACAGACTTTTACAGGCTCCGTTATATTGTTTTTTCCCGGGTTTCTCTTCAGGAGAAGTTTCAAGTACCTGAAGGGATTCAGAACAACTGATTACTTTCCAATGATTCTGATGTTTACAAGCTTTTGCCACAGCTCCCTTATACAGTGGTGGTTTCCCTCTATCTTTTTCTCTGAGATACCCATGTAAGGATAAATCACCAATGATATTTGTTACAAGCAATGGAGTCTCATGAACTCTTACTCTGCAAGGCGTGTCCTTAATGATCATACTCTCTGGACTAGCTGGCTGATTTTTATCACACTCATTATGACATTCACTTCCATGGTCTTTCTCAATCCTCTGAATTCTGCAAAAAAAAAAATGAGAAAAGCAATACTTTAGACAAAGAAATATTGAAGGCTAGGGTGTCTGGAACACAACTATAGAATCTCAGAGGGAATAAAATAATGGTATCAATGTCAACACAAGATCTATTTCATGGTGAGACCCTGCTATGTGTAAAGAAGTAGAGGACTAATGTTACTTCTGTAAGAATTAAAAGGAGCTGTATCA